GTATGTTTTTAAATATAATCTTTGATCCTGCCCCCCAAACCTTGTTAATAAAGTAGATCTGAGGCCTGGAGGAATAGTGCAGTGACACGGGGTTCATAGTTTTCAAGCGTTTGGTCACAAGTTCAACCCTCTGTTGTCCCGCATAAACCACGCAGCTCTGCTGAGTGTAATTCCATCATCATAAGCAATTTCTGACGCCACACCACAGTCAGGTGTGTGTGATCTTGTCATCTCAGTAGCATCAACGAAGGGAAGCAGGAGGAAAGGAAGCTTTTTGTTAGTTTGGGAACCACATCCAATGATGCTCAGGACTTACTCCTGACTCTGCGCTCAGGGATCACTGCTGGTGGACTCAGGGGACCATATGGGGTGCTAGAGACTGAACACTGCTTGGCTGCATGCAAGGCCAGCACCCTACCTCCTGTACTGTGTCTTCAGCCCCAAGAATTTTTTAAATTAATTTTAAGAGCAGATCTGGCATTATTATTTGTTGATTTATTGATAGGATTGATGATTAGCTGTTGCTTTCTAAGCACTACAGCAGGCCAGTCACTGAGCTACAGAGCAGAGATGTTGTAGAGAACAAGATAACAGGAATTATTGCCTACGGGGATAAGGTTTGCAGAGAGGATGGGACTGAAGCAAATACAGTAAATTAAAACATGTTAGAAAGTTTCACATGGCGTTGCTGTGAGAGAGACACTCTCTCTCTCTCTCTCTCTCTCTCTCTCTCTCTCTCTGTGTGTGGTTACAGCTAAGGGACACTTCCTGTCACTGGTTGCTGACCTCTCCAGTCCTTTTCCTTGTCACCTTCCTTCTTCGTAAAATCTCCCAGGTTGATCCACCATCTGCTGTTGGTGGTTGAACTCATAAAAACGGTGAATCTCTGATTCATTTTACCAAAGGGCCTTAGAGGAAGAAAGGAGTTTGGGGAATACAATATCCCTTTGGGGGGTGTTTCAGTGGGGCAGGCTCAGGCTGTGGCCCTCAGGGTCCCAGGGTATGCTAATGGCAATGCTCTGCTCCAGCTCACCCACGGTGGGGTAATGTCAGGGGGCTGACTCGGTGCTCCTGAGTATCTCAGCACCCCTGGAACACCCAGGCCCCCGTCCTGGGTGTCCAGTTTCTGGTCACAGAGGCTCTCCACTGGGTCTGGGGACTTGCTTCTGTGGCTGTGCATGGCGATTGTCTGGGGAGTTTTGAAAGGGTCCTACTCCCTGGGGATCCCACTTGTCCCCAGGCCAAATCAACTCAAATGTTGAGAGTCCCAGTCTGGGCCTTAGTGTGAAGCTTCCAGATCAGAATGTTCTGGAGGATCGCTGGGAGTGGGAACTGGTGACCCCAGGAGACTGGGGCCTGACTCCTTGCTTCTCTGGCACCCTCCAAATCGGGTCACTGTGCCCAAGAGAGGCCAACACGGATTGACTTTCCCAGGCTCAAGGTGGCCTCTGGTGGGTTCCCGCTGTCCCCATCCCCCAGACTTGAAAAAGGCAGAAACTCTGTTAAGCTGAAGGCAGCTGGGGGCAGCACAGGAGGGGCCCTTTGGGGGAGGGGCTTCCCAGGCCTCTCTGCCCTCAAGGACAGGACGGAGCCTGGAAAAGCAGTTTCCTTGATCTTGGCAGTGTGTGCAGGGGGCGGGGGCGCAGGGGGGGGGGGGCTCCCTTTCCTCCATAGGCCATGGCAGTGAACCTCCTGTTTTGCTCAGCCACGTCCAGAGGGCTGAATGTAGCCTGTCATCTCCTGGCGCCTAGACAGAACCCAAGCGCAAACACATTTCACATTCGTTCTTAAATGCTCAGAGGAGCAGCGTTTTTCTGAGATTACACATTTTTCCAGCATTATGTTATACTTGAGCCTGCAAAACAATGAAGTGTAAGATTTTCTTTCTTTTTTCTTTTTTTTGTAGTGGTTTCTAGGACCGCGCAGAGGATGCCTGCAGTGGGTGCGGTGGGCGTGCTGGGGGGCTGGGGGGGTTCCTGGGCCAGGTTATATACTCATGAGTGTGTCTGCAGAGTAGGAACCGTGCTACTGCTCACCCAGCTGAGGCTCTTTTCTGGGAGTGACTGCCTCTATGTGCTGGGAGGGCCATGGTGGGGTACAGGGGTGTGCACCAAAGTTTAAATCCTGGTGTTGGTGCTGGGGAGAGGATGCACAGTCCTGGGGTACGAGCTCTGCATGCGGAAGTCCTGGGCCCAATTTGGGGCACACAGAGATCCTGCAGTGACAGGACACAGTCTCCGAGGGCCGAGCTGGAGAAACTCCTCACCACACACACAGCCAGGTGTGAGCCCCAACCCCCAAAAATTATATTGAAAAAAAATCTGAGCCTGACCCTTTCTCCCTTGGACAAAATGATGTTTCATCTGTAGCAGGAGTTTATCTAAGTGCTGCACCCAGGGAGGTGTTTGCAGGGGAAAGAGAGGAGCCCCGGTGGGTGCATCTCAGATCTGGCTCACCCAGGGAGATGAACCCCCTGAGGGGAACTCCCAGGCTGGGTCAGTTTTCACCATTCTCTGGGGACCCTCAACCAGCCATGGGGAGGGAACCGCAGCCCTTGAAAGCCAAGTGAAGTGAAGTGGGGACAGGGGAAGACGTTAGCATGTGGGTTCCTCCACAGCGCTGGCCTCGGGGTCCTTCCTGGAATGCACTCCCCCCCAGCCCCCACAACCGCTAAGCAGCAGGCTGGGGGGCGCACACCTGCTCCGTGCTTGGGGCCAGGCCGTGCTGGCACTGTGAGCAGCCCTTGAGCCATCCTCCCTCCCTCGAGGCTTCTCCTGGAATTCTGTCCGGGACAAGTGCCTCAGGCGCTGTGCTTGCCCTCGGTTGGTAGCGTGTGCCTTCCTCACAGGCAGGGCAGGTGTCTGCCCAGGGCCCCACAGGCGGAGGCAGCTGGCTGGCCGGCACACCGCAGCCCCTGGGAATTGACACAAAACCTATTTTCTTTCTGGGAATTGGCCCAAAACCAGAAAATCAGCTACTAGTACTGGGGTGAGAAATGAAGAGAAAGTGAAGCGGCTTGAGAGAGTCAGGATTCCAGCCCAGAAACAGAGATGGGGAAAGGCAGGCGCAGTGCTCGCACTCATGCTGTGACCAGGCCGCCCAGGCCTGTCCCCTTGATCCAACCCCAGGCCCCTGCCCAGGCTCAGCCCAGCCACATCCTGCAGGACTTTACCTCAGGGCACCCAGGGCTGTGAGCTTGAAAGGCGGGTGTGAAAGGTTTCGATCCTGCTTCCTTTATTTCCGACACTAACAACGTGACGTGACGTGGTGCATCTTTTTTAAGAGTTTAGAACAAATGTGGGAATGAAGGAAGCATAGTAAAAGAATAACAAATGTTCAAAGGCACAGAACTGAATTTACTGTGGGGGGCTGGGGGCCAGTAAGTTGAGGTGGGACACTGGGGGGGGGGGGTGTTGGGACATTGTATACAGGAAAGCCCATCACTAATGGGTAAAGCACAGGGCCTAAAATGAAAAAAAAAAAACCAGTATCTAAATTTTATAATGATATGATCAGGATTTATGTCACTGAAACAAAAATTGGAGTTGGAGACATTAAGTTTAAAAAATAATAGATACATTAATAACAAGTCGGGTGCTCGTTCGAGCAAATCTATGAACAACAGGAGGACAGTGCTACAGTGCTACATTAATAAAATTTTAAAAAGTTTAGAACAGGGCCAGCAACAGTACTTGGGCACTGTCCCGAGTGCAGCTGACTAACCCTCAGGCTGGATGTCCCCAATCACCTCTGGGAGTAACTTCTGAGTATAGAGCCAGAGGGAGTCCCTGAGCACCACCATGTGTGGCCTCAAACCCTTCTCCCCTACCCTGCCCCACATGCACAACAGAAAAAGAAAAACAGTTGTTCAGGACACCAAGAGCTCAAGGTGGGGCCTCAGGGAGAGCAGCTACCCCCACAGACAGGCTGATGCTCGGGGAGGTGAGGGTGCGCGGGGCAGGGAGTAGGGAGCTTCTTCAAAAGAAGGCCTGGGCCATAGTGCAGCGATGAGGGGCTTTCCTGGCAGGCGCTGACCTGGCTTTGATCCCTGGCAGCACCCCGGAATGATTCCTGAGAGTAGAACCTGAGCATAGGTGGGCGTGGTCCCCAAACCAAAACCCAAACAAAAACAACACAAAATAAAAATCACCTGAAAACATCTTTATAGGCCAATGAATTTTAGAATAGAACCTTGCCCATGAAACAAAAGCTCAATTTTTATGGAAAAAAGTCTCCACACCCAATAGAATCAGAGGGTTGGGGAGAACTATTCCCAAGGGTGCATCTTGCTGGGCCTTCTGCAGGAGGGATGGGGTGCAGGTGGATCTGGCAGGGGGGAGGGGGCAGCACCTGGGTTTCACGGAGGCCCTGCCTCCAGGATGTTGATCTGAATCCTAGGGTGTCAGGATAGACAAGGAGTCTCGAGAGTTCTTGAATGACCCGTGGGTCCAGCTCTGGCAGAGGCTTGCAAGCACAGTTCTTAAAAAGACGCCACTGTTTTAGGATAGGATGGAGAAGGGAGCAGTATGACAATCATAGAATTGATCACTTTGGACAAGAATACAGATACCGTATTGCAAACCATAATGCCCAAAAGGAAAGAGAAAGGGGGAGAAAGGAAGGGAAAGACAGAGAGAGAGAGAGACAGAGACAGAGAGACAGAGAGACAGAGAGAGAGAGACAGACAGACAGACAGAGACAGAGACAAAGACAGAGACAGACAGAGGCAGAGAGACAGAAAAGAGAGAGAGACAGAGAGGAGACAAAAAAAGTGCCTTCCCATAGAGGCAGGTAGGGGGAGGGGGCAGGGATGATACTGAGGACATTAGTGCATTGATGGTGGGCAATGTATACTGATGAAAGGATGGGTATAGGAACATTATATGACTAAAACACAATCATGAATAATTTTGTAACTGTGTTTCTCACTGTGATTCAGTTTTAAAAACTTAGAACAAAAGAAAAAAAAAGACAAAAAGACACCACCTTTTCTTCTGCAGGTACCGTGTGAATTTCAGGCCCAGATATGTCACCAAGTTCAAGACGGTGACACAGCTGGAATGGAGGTGCTGCCCCGGCTTCAGAGGGGGAGATTGCCAAGAAGGTCCCAGAGAGCCGGGGAAGTCTCCGCACCCCACCTCTGCTCCACGCAGCAACATGAAGAAAGCCTCAGGTGACACATTATTTGCACTTTAACCTTTTCCTCAAACAGTCACATTCAGGGCTCAAGTATGTACTTATATACCTGCAGCAGACACTATCAGGAAATCTATTTGCAGGAACAATAGCAGTTGGAAGACAAACCTTTTGCAATTTAATTGCTTTATTAGGGCAAACTTATGAAATCAGTACAAGGTATGCTGAAGATTTCAGACTCAGTCTGATGACAAGAGATTTGTGGGGGGGGGAGAGAAGGGGCTTTTGTTTAATGCCTTACTGTACTGTTCATCCACCCCCTGAAAAAAGGTTCAAACACCATAATGCTTTGTATGTTTTTATTTATTTATTTTTTTGCTTTTTGGGTCACTCTCTACAGTGCTCAGAAAGCACTCCTCGCAGGTTTGGGGGACCATGTTGAGGAGCAAACCTAGATCAATTGTGTGCATGCCTTACCTGTTGTTCTATCACTACAGCTCCACTTTAAGCTCTTTCCGTGATTGTTTATTTTTTTGAATTTATCTTGGTACTGACTCCTCTTGGGCTGGAGTGATAGCACAGCGGTAGGGTGTTTGCCTTGCATGCGGCCGACCCGACGGGTCTGGGTTCAATTCCTCTGCCCCTCTTGGAGAGACTGGCAAGCTACTGAGAGTATCTCACCAAAGATACTGAGAGTATCACGGCAAAGCCTGGCAAGCTACCCATGAGGTATTCGATATGCCAAACACAGTAACAACAAGTCTCACAATGGTTACGTTACTGGGCCTGCTCTAGCAAATCGATGGACAACAGGAGGACAGTGACTGACTACTCTTACAGGAAGTGAGGATTTCATTACCTCCAACCCCCAGCACCCTACTCCTATCCTCCCTAAGAATTAAACCATGTATTTATTCACTCTGGTGTGTGACTAAGTAGATGGCATTTACAGCTGAGTTGTGTAGGCTACTAGAAATGTACGTACTTGCTATCAGCCTTTTATTTTTCTGGAGTTAATAGTTTCTTTGCTTGGTTTTCTATGTTTTTATCTGTATTGCAACCCAAACTCTCCTCTAGTTTTCTAAATGTCCTTCAGTCTTCTGGAGGACCAAAGGCCTTGGTCTTCTGGAAGCTCTCTCCAAGCTCGCTCAGCTGCCCCCACCAGGCCTGGGTTTCCTCTTGTCCAGCTCACAGCTGCCAGTTTGTCTCCTCAACTTCCTCCCTGCAGATGATTCCCTGATTCCCATGCCCCTGCCTACTCTTCTTCCATTTACCTCCTTGTTTTGGTAAAGCGTGTCTTGTTGTAATTTCATGAGAAGATTGCATGGGAGATGAAGTTTTGATATTTTATAGTCTGCAAACATTTTACTCTAGCTTTAGAATTGGAAATAAATTTCCTTCAGAATTTGGAAAACATTGCATACTGCTTTTTAGCTTCAAGAGTTGCTATTGAAAGATAATCTTTGGATCCTCCCTCTACCCCGTTTTTTGGATTTTGGGAGAGGACGAAAGAAAATGTTTATCTTTAATCATTATATCGTTATTGTTGAAGATTAAATTGTGTGTGTATGAAGTAAAGACATTTTACTAAAAGTGAGAAAAAAGAAATGATCCTCAAGAAAACACGAGAGAGGAGAGAGCCCCATAAAATAAAAGAAAGGAATTATTCTGTCCAAGTTGGGGTGAGAGCAATCCAGAATGGAATGCCCACAAAGCAATTTTGAACTTAACAGTCTGTTACAAAGGAAAAAGAAGGTCCCAAATAAAATTCTTACTTAGTAATGCCAGTAACTTGTCCACCTCTTTCTGATAATAAGAATCTTCCATTTTGTACAACTCCTTAAACTGCCTTTCTGCTTGCAAGATTGTGGCCTGATTCATCATCTTTATTCATTACATCTCTAAAACCATTTGTTTGTTTTGGATTCAGGACCACACCCTATGGTTCCTGGGATCGCTGCTGGCTCTGTGCTCAGGACCACACCTGGCAGAGCTCAAGGGACCATATACAGTGCTGAAATTTGAACCAGAGTAGCAATTGCAACTGCATGCTAGGCAAACACCTTAATCTTTGTATTAACCCCTAAAGCTATTCAGATGAATTTTATTCTTAAAAGAATATATCACAAATGTCCATGTCTTTAAATCATCTACAGTATCATTTAATGACTTCAAGGTTATTTGACTTCAAACCCTACCTCTAGTCTTGTTTTAAAATTGTCATTATTGTAGATGATATTTATTAAGCAAATTTCTTGTTAAAAATTATCTGATTATTTATTAGATTACATTTCTAGATGTTTCATTGCCTGTTTAAAGGATTCTGATCATTTTGACACATATTGCCAAATTTTTTTTTCTAAAAAATTCTAGCAATTCACTCTTTATTACACCCTGATCTTGATCTTCTCCTAGTCTCCTACCCTTCATTTTATTTCTTTTGAAATAACATTTTATCTGTATGTGATGTTGTTCCTTGTTTTCTTCTATATCTTGGGATAAAATTCAGTTGTCAGTATGTTCTGTATAGTTCTCAATTTGGGAGTTTGGCCATCTGAATTCCAGACTTTCTTTTGTCATTGAATTCCTTTTAATAATAGCTTATTACGATCATGTGTAAAAGTTTAGAGAGGGAAGAGTAATGATTGTGAAATTCAAATATTCACAACCTTTTAAATATACTGCTAATGTTCACCACCACATATGGATGCATTTTATTTCATTGGGATCAATATTGTCTGACTTTTTCCACTTTACATGATTTCTCAGTATAGTGTGCAGGCTTCCTAATGTGGACCCACCCTAGCATTTTTTGTATCCTACTGCATTGAATGGGTATAACTTGCCTCTTATTCTTTATTACACAGTTCTGATAGGCCTTTTTTGTTTATTCATGTCTATATCAGTTTATTTTCATTTAATGACTCATCATAATTATTTTTATAATATTGTTTGTCTTCTAGGGTATTTATTTGGTCTGTTTTTCAAAGTCAATTATTTAAAATTCAGTGTCTGTATCCTTTGGCTTAGCAAATACTATATAAGGCCATATAACTCTAGTGTCAGAAGACAGCAATAGAATCAAATGCTTTCTCTTTTTGGTCTTTTATTTCCCCCAACTGCATAATATGTTTTAATAATGCCTTAGGTTCTTTTCACCACAGATATTCTAATAAAGTTTTTTAAAAAAACACTTAATAGCTGCTTGGAGAATAACTTGATGCTCATATGATATCATCCCGTCCAACAGCTAAGGGGTGACTCCCACTAAAGTGTTTTTTTCATGGTTTTACAGTGCACAGTCCTCCACTGGACTGTGGCGGGGCTGCCTCTCACTAGTGTGAAATGCTGTGTTCACAAAACGAAAGAAAAAAGGAATGTTCCCCAGGGTCAGAGAGACCATGGAGTATCTCTATCATTTGTCACGTACATAGTCTCTTAATCACTGTATGAGGAAAGCAAGAACCACCAATTCATAGATGAAGGAATCATAGTGCAAATGTTATTTAATTTTCTCAAGAGCAGACAGTAAACAGCAGAACTAATATGCAGTGAAGGACAATTTGATAGCAAAGGGCATTCTCTTTTCTACTGTAGCACTGTAATTGCCAGTGGTGAGAGACAGAATCTGTTCTTAAAGACTTAAAAAGTATTCTGTAAGCACCCTGTTTATCAATCTTTTTTGCAGAAACTGGGTAAAGGTAGACTATATTAAGTCATGTCCAACTCTCTCTTCATAACAGACATTGAGCCAAGTCCAATCTCAGAGCCCAAGAAGACTTTGTCATCAAGTGGTACAACAGAGCCAAGTCAAACAGTAGATCCAAAACAGGGACCCCAAGAACTTCAGGACAAGAAAATCCAGGTACTTGAGGAGAAGGTTCTCAGACTCACAAGGACAGTTCTGGATCTCCAGTCTTCCATTGCTGGAGTGAACGAAAACCTCAAACACACAGTTCAAGATGATCCCAGCAAAACGCCCTCATGGCTCAGTAGCCTTCACCACCAACCAGGAACTGTGTCCATCAGTGGAGACACAGACACGACTCCTCTTCCTGAGATCCCCAGTAAGGAATCTGGCATGAGTGACATTAAGTCTGAATTGGCTGAAGTCAAGGATGCTCTAAAGACCAAGAGTGATAAGCTGGAGGAGCTGGATGGGAAAGTAAAAGGTTACGAAGGGCAGCTCAAACAGCTCCAGGAGGCGGCCCAGGGCCCTACAGTGACCATGACAACCAGTGAACTCTACCAATCCTATGTAGACAGCAAGATCAATGCCTTGAGAGAAGAGCTCATAGAGGGAATGGACAGGAAGCTGGCAGATCTGAAAAACTCCTGTGAGTACAAGATGATCGGTCTCCAACAGCAGTGTGACGACTATGGGAGCAGTTACCTGGGAGTCATCGAGCTTATAGGAGAGAAGGAAGCAAACCTGAAAAAAGAAATCAGTGAACTTCGAGCCCAGCTGCAGAATCCTCCAGCCCAGCCAAATTGCTGTGACAGCAAAAAAAGTACTGATTTCGCACAACAGATCCAGATGTTAGATCAAAAAATTGAAAGAGTTGCTGAGGCCACCAGAATGTTGAATGGACGACTGGACAATGAGTTTGACCGCCTCACAGTTCCAGAGCAAGATGTGGATTTAGATGCCAGGTGGAATGAGCTAGATGCACGGATCAACGTGACAGAGAAGAATGCAGAGGAACACTGCTTTTACATAGAAGAAACCCTGCGGGACACCATTAATGGAGAAGTCGATGTCTTGAAGCAGCTTCTGGATGAGAAGATACAGTCTCTGGAGGCGCGTTTGGGGAATGTGCTGGAGCTGGCCAACAGCACTGACGAAGCCTTCCCTCTGCCGGCCCCTGCCGGCCCGGGTGTGTCAGAAGCTGGGAATGAGCAGGTTATAGTGGAATTGAATCATCTGAAGAACAAAGTGCAAGTGGTCGAGGATATTTGCCTGCAGAACTTCCCTGGGATAGATACTTGGCTAACTGGAGAAGACCATACAACAAATGACCACTCAGGCCTTTTGAAATCACTGAACGACACCATGTATGGGAAGTTTCGAGAAACAGAACTCAGTATCCAGAAACTCCAGCGTGATTTTCATTTTCTTTATTCTCTACTAAACCACACAGAAGATGGTCTGCCTCCTCTTCAGGTGGGAGCCGGCACAGAAAGTTCCAACACTGGAATGGGTGGGTCTTCTAAGGCAGGCAAGCCAGGAAGGACGATGGCACCCCTCCCGTCTCCCCAGGACTCCACAGCTCATTGTTGTGACCAGTGGGAGGAGAGGTGGCAGCAGCTGCAGAGCCACGTCCTCTCTGAGCTGGACACTTGTAAGGAAAATGCGCATGGCGCCCAAAGGGAGGTCTCTGTGGTTGAGGGCAAGCTTTCTCAGCTGGAGAAAACCTGCAGCAAATTGGACAACATCTCGGGAAGTCTCCAGAGGATCAAGGAAGGCCTCAACAAGCATGTTAGTAGCCTGTGGAGCTGTGTCAGGCAAATGAATGGGACATTGCGGGCCCATAACAGAGATATTTCTGGCCTGAAGAATTCTGTCCAGCAATTCTATAGCCATGTTTTCCAAATTTCTACTGATCTGCAAGATCTGATCAGATTTCAACCATCATCAAGTAAGTTGACCTTGACAACTCCCTCCTTCCTTCCCTCCCTCCCTCCCTCCCTCCCTCCCTCCCTCCCTCCCTTCCTTCCTTCCTTCCTTCCTTCCTTCCTTCCTTCCTTGTCATGGAAGTCAAATATTCAGTGCTCAGGGGCCATATAGTGTTGGGCATTGAACTCAGGACCATTTTTAAAAAATGCATTTCTATGTCTTTTTATTATTTATTTCTTTTTTGTTTGAGAGGCCACACCTGGCAGTGCTTAGGAGTTACTCCTGGCTCTGCACCCAGGAATCACACCTGGTGGTCTTAGGAGCTATTGCTCTGGCCGCTATTTTATTATTTTCTTGAAAACAGGTCCTAGAACATGCAAGATATGTGCTAGACTTTGGGTATTTGTGGAATTAACTAAACTATTCTGGGCTAGCCTAAATGTGACTTATAGATGGACCAGTATATGAATCGCTTGGTGCTAGGGTGCTCTGAGATTAATGCCAACATAGGGAGTGAGTATTTAGAAACATTTAAAATAGTTCAATGTCTTCACAGAATTCAGGTACAGCTGTGTATTTTCTAAAAGTCTCTGTCTGCAACATGATGCAAATGCAAAAGAAATTCATAGTCATATGGCAAAATATTGGTTTGGATGATCCCACTTGAATCGTACTTGGATCCAAGTGGGAGTTGGAGCAAGATTTAACAACTGGGCTGTGGATATCGGGGTGCCCTTGGAGACTTCGGGGATGTCCTATGGACTTATCTGTGCAACTCTGTAGACAGTGCTTTTGTTTGCTGGTGTCTTTATCATCTTTGCCACCATCATCTTTGGGGCACTTCCGAGTCCCCAAGGTACTTAGACTTAACATAATGGCAGACAGGCAACTGTCATATTTGTTCCCAAAGACTGAGGACTGTGAACAAAAGCAGATAAGGGCAGTTACTATTTATTTACTTTTAATTTTTTGTATCATGCCCAGTGGTACTCAGGGGATACTCCTGACTTGGTGCTGTGGGAACCATGTGGTGTGATCTAGGGCTTCAGAGCATGCATATCAGCTATTCAGTCAGCTCCTCTAAAGCCTCAAGAAGCTCTTCGATTGTATTTAGAACAATGCTTGCACCACTAGACACTCAGTGAGTGTGTGGAACGAGTGAATGAATAAATGAATGAATAGTCCCTCCCTTACTAGTTTTGATCACTATATTCAACAAAGTCCCAATCTTTGTTACTAAGGGAGTGAAGTGCGCAATCTGCAAAGCACATAATTCTTCCATTCAGGGTGCCTCCATAAATGAGCTCCCCCTTTCCAAGTCAGATACAAGGTGGTAAAAGGGAATGAGATGGAACCTCTCCTCTTTTGAGCACTGACTGCTGACCCCGGGGCCCCATTCCCTCTCCTGGACTCCCCTGGCTGCTTTTTCCTACCCACCCCAGCCTTTGTCATCTTGCCCTGGTGACCCTTAATCATGAGCTTAGATTTCATGACCTGGTATGAACCTATAAAATTTTATGACCAGGTTTTAGATAGGACTTTAAACTCCATGAAGAAAAGGCTGAGGAATGAGACACGTGGAGGCAGGCCTGGCGTGGGATGGGGAGGTCAGATCCTGGAGGACATCCAGGGAAGGGCGCAAGGTGGGAAATCAGCTCGGGAAGTATCTGGGTTCCCAAAGATAAGGAGTTTGTAGATAAGGAGCCTTATCGTCAGGCGAGCAGAACCAGGAAGCTGACTTGCACCCTGTCAACCCACGACATCACACTATTTTTATAATTTGCCCCTTCTTCACAGACTCATGTCACTCCTATATCTCTGGAATGCTGAGTAAGTGTCACTAGACTCTGCATGTATTCCTAGAAGGACTGTGCTCAAGTGACCGTGCTGTTGGACTGTGCTTTATCATAACACATGGATATTTTCAGATATTTCCAGCTGATTTGCTACTCCCAGCAGTGCAGGAAACTGTGTTAACTCTTTCAAATTTGTCTACTGAACTAGGAGTTGGAGGCAAATGCTTTTAAAAAGGATATGGCTTCTAAGAGATGATCCTTTCGGGCTGAACTCATTGCTGTGAACATAGAACACGTGGATTTTTGTGGATGTCAGTGATCAAAACAGCCAAAAGTAAACAAGCAGGGCCATAACTATCCTGGTGTAGCAACGATCAGGGATCCGGGGGGGGGGGGGGGTCTCTGGATCTGAGTGTGCAAGACCAAGGGTAAATCTGGAGCTAAGGTTGCAGAACAAGTCAATCAGCGATCAGTTGAAAAGTAGCAGAACATCCATTGAGCACCTACTATGTGTGAGACTCCAGCAGGGAGTGTAGAGATGATGAGCTTGATCCTCACCCCAAGGCATTCTCCACTTTGGTGGTAGTGAGACCATATATGGCATGAAGGCTGATGAGCAGCTCAGGCAGCAGTGATTCTTTCAGGCCCAAGGGTTTGATGCAGCATGCCCTGAGCTCTGTGTGAAGTCCATGAATGACAGTGGAGGTGATAATGTCAGTTGAGGGGAAGTGTCAATGAGCCGGTCAGGGAGGGGTGTGTGCACAGAGATGATCATTGGGGTGTATTGGGGCTGGGCAGAGTCAACACAGCTGCAGTATGAGTCAGGCAGGGAAGAGAGGCAGGGAAGAGAAGAAGGCCCAACCTTAGAGGGTGAAGGAGAGGATGAGAGAAACTTCTGAAAGGAGGGGTAACTGCAACCAGTAATTCAGGGTTGTAGATGGTTCCCAGAAGCAGGCAGGGAGTGTGTACCTGGTGAGACCTTGGTCTGGTGGAGTGGTTCTTTTTTTATAATTGTTCTTTGGACCACACGTGGCAGTGCTCAGCACTTACTACTTCTCTGCACTCAGGGATCAGCCCTAGTGGTGTTGGCAGACCATATGTGATTCCCGATATCATACCTGAGTTGGCCACATGCAAGGCCACATGCAAGGCCTTACCCATGGCACCAATGCTTAGACCATGGACCAGTTATTCATGTCCTTAAACAAACTACCCCAAGTCTTGGTGAGCTGTTTCCATTGCTTGTGATCACGGCTAGACTTTTCGGAGATGCTGTGTGCAGAGAAGGTCCAGTGGCACCTCCCAGGAGCTCTTTGCTCACATGCCTGTGGCTCAGTGCATGGGCTCGAGGATGCAGGGTTGCTCAGGTCTTTGAGGCTGGGGGTTACCCAGCCCACCTGGTGGTTAGGATCCTTCAGGACCACACTTGGCAGAGCTGAGAGACCAGGTGATGTTAGGGATGGAATGTGGGTCTGCTGGCGTGTGCCTTACCCCTGTACCATCTCCCCTGCTGCTTGGGCCTGGCGTTGCAGCCCTTCTTATCTCTTAGGTGTCAGTAATGATTCCCTGCTTGGGAGTTTTTCACAGCTGGGCTGTGGACAGTCCTCCATGGCACCCTTACCCACCTCTGGTTCCAGAGCTGCTTTCTGCCCCCAACTCCAGTCTGCTGCCTGTGTCTATGTTCTCCCTGGCCTCCAGTATGGCCCACAACCAAGGGGCCACCACCTGTGACAGCTGGTGTGTGCAGCCTGTTGCACCAGTGTGAACAGGGACCCCACAGACTCCACTCTTCGTCATACTGGGGGAGAGGAATGGTGGGCTAGGAAATGGGGGTGGTGGGCAGAGGAATATTCTCTTCAGGAAAGTTCTCTCTATTGTATTTTTGTTTGGGGGCTGCATCTAGTGGGTGCTCAGAAGCTTCTTTTGACTCTGTACTCGGGGTTCTTTCCCGTTGATGTCCGGGAGACCGTGCGCTGCCCTGGATGAACATAGGCCTGTTCCCTCAGCCCATTGTGTCTCACTGGCCCCTGGAAAGTTCCATTTCATTCCTTGGTCCCCAGATGCCCCAGAACCATATCAACAGCATCAGCCTTCCCACTCTTTCTTGTGTCTAGTCTTTGAAAAAAATTATTATACTTTTAGGCTTCTCCGAAAGGGGAGAAGCCTCTGTTCTCTCCTCAATGCGTACTACTCTTTCTCTCCCCTCAGATTTCTCTGAATAAAATTCTTTTAATGAAACTATAATAAGGTACTTTTGAGAAAAATTGTTGTGTTTTTTAAATGGCCACACCCAGTGACACTGGGGGTTGTACGGGGGCCCGGTGTACACGGGCGTGTCTCCAGCAGAGCGGGACCTCCAGCCCCTCTGCTCACATCTTAGGGTAATTTTTTTAGCGCATGAATTCTTGCACATGAATTCATACTAATTATAGTAGTAGAAACGTTTTGTTTTAGGAGTATTATAGGAATAAGCGTCTTGTTGTTTTCAAGTTGTTTTTTGTTTTGCATTTGGGCCACACCCAGCAGAACGGGGTGGGGTGGGAGCTGCTCCCAGCTGTTGCTTGCAAGGGGCTGCAGAAAGGTTATCATGGACCAGGGGCCCTTGCTGTATGGGGATCAAACTGACATCTCCAGCAGGTGAAGCCTGAGCGCTAGACCTTTAGAATCTCTCCCTGACTGACCTCACTGAATTTAAGCCGTGCTGTGAGAATAAAGAAGCACTGGTCATTCCATAAGTATCTGGCCACAAAGCCCGGTCAAGGGAGGAGCAGAAGGAGGCTAGCATGATGACAGCTTTGGCCCTTGACCTGAAATTGGCTGGGTTTGGGTCCAAGATAGCTTGACTAAGCAGCAAAAAGCAGACACAACTAAGTCCTGACAGTGCGCATGTGGGCAGCTGCTTCCACCGTGGCCCTGGCCAGGCTGAGGATCTTGGCCTCTCCTCCATGTCACCTTGAATCTGGAGTCTGGAAAAGGGCGCTCTCTCAGGACTGTGTGCAGACAGCCCCCGAGAGGGACAGAAATAGCAGCTCCTCACTCTGCAGATCCCGCTCAGCGGTGAGCGAGACCCAGGAGTTTGTTATTAAGACCGAAGAAGCTTCTAAAGCAGGTCATCAGTGCAGTCAGGTACAAGACCAGAGCTGTGCCCAAAGTCTGGGCAGCCCCCTCACCCCCAGAAACTCGGGCAAGGGCGAGAAGAGAGAAATGCAATGATGATGCAGCCACC